TCTGTCCCTATTCCTATCTGCCTACTGAGTAACCACCCTGACTCTTAGGGGAAGAAAAGAGAGGTGAAGGTGACGGTGGTGATGGGAATGCACCTGTAGGAACCCGGGTGGGAGTGGCTTCCTGAGATGTCACAGATTACTGTTGGTTGAAAGACAACTCTGAAACCATGTCACCACCATTTTGTTTTTGTGAATTTAGAACGTGGAAAGGCAACAGGCAGGTATTTGGCACAGTGGTTCAGATGCTACTTGGAAAGCTTTCTGTCTCTGTCACAGTGCTCAGACTCGGCTCCCCGCTCCACTTCTGAGTCTCACCTTTCCACTGTTCTGCCCCATTGGGAGGCAGCAGGTAATGGCATAAATAGTGTGTCTGTCACCTGCATGGGATACCCAGCTAGAGCTGCAGGCTCTCGGCTTTGGGCTGTCTCCAGTCTTGGCTGTTGCAACCATTTGATGAGTAAAGCAGGTGAAAGATCTGTCTCTTTACCTTTCAGATTAAAATGGAAGTAAATACAATTTTAAAGAAAGCCATCGGTCACAGGCTACTCTCCTCCCACCCTGTAAAAGGCTTTAATAGAATGAAGGCATGCCCACTTTGAGAACAAAGGTGAGCCTTGGTCATAGAGCACAGCTAGCTCCAGGAACACCTCCCGCCGATCTGGGCCCTGGGCTCCGCGCAGCGGACAGAGAGTAGCCCACAGAATAGAGCATCATGTGCAACTAGCACAGGGGACACCCAGGTGTTTGCACTGCTCAGGGCCAGCAAGTCACCTTCCTGGGACCATGTGCCCTGCACACCAGCTCACTCCTGCAGCCGCCAGCCACGAGCCACCCCCATTCTCCTCCCCCAGGGACTCTTGGGTCAGAGCCTCAGCAGTGGCACACACAGGGACCACAGTTCTCTCCTGAAGCTGGGGCAAAGCAAGGCAGGTGGCTGGCACAGGTGCAGGCAGGGTGCTGGGTTGGGGCCAGGCAAGGGCAACTTGCTCATGTTCCCCAGCCTGGGCCTACAGTCGGGAGACCCAAGCTGGTCCACATCTACCTTTGTCCACAGCCTGGGAGTCCAGGGACCTCTGTCCTAGGCCCAGTGAGCTTTGTGACCTTGAGCCAGTCACTTTCAGGCCCTCTGCATGTACTACAGCTCCCGCTCCATCTGCTCAGCCTTAGCTCAGGGGACCCACAGGCCATACAGGGGCGTGGTGGGAGGGAGTTGGAGCCCTCAACCTTCTCCTCCAGGGATGGGCCTGCAGGCTGACCACCAAGACTTGCACGGAGATCAGGGGAGGAAGCTGCCATCTGCACCAGTCCTAGTGGCCCAGCCCAGGCTGTGGCAGCTTGGCCACCCACCTGGAACGAAACTGCCCCCCTGGTTGCCCAGCCCAGAGCTCTGTGGGGAGTGTGACTCACTTCGCGGGGGGCCATCGCGGCTAATGTTTAACTGGGCCCCTCCCTCAGTCGGGCCCTTTAGCCCCAGCAGCCCTGAGCGTGCTGGGCCTGGCCCTGGTTGCCCCTGCTGCCTAGCAGGCTCCTGACACACAGCTGGGCTCTGCCTCCTGGCCACAAGGCCAGGGGGCTCCCCGAGGGCTGTGGGACAAGTAGGGTGGCAACAGGTGGCATTCCTGCTCAGAGTCTCCTGTCAAGGAGAGAGGAGCAGCAGGCTTGTCTGCAGCTGGATGTGAGGAGGATGCTGCAGACAGTCCCCCACCCCCAGCTCTGCTGGGGCCCCTCCCTCGGACGGAGGAAGCCCTCACCTGTGCCCATGTGATGCCACTTGTGTCTCCTTTGATTGCTTTCCCGGTGTCCTGTGTGCAGCCATCCACCCCCCTAGTGGAGAGAGAGCTGCTTCTACTCCATACCTCCACGTGGCAGCCAGTGTCTGAGATGGCTGTGTTTACAGCTCAGGTTTGGGGTGACAATGGAATGACAAGGTTCTGATAGGGCACTTGACGTAGGTACGACTATTCTATTGCACTGTTATTGCTGAGACAGTGAGTAAGCAGATAGAGTTAAAAAGACTTCCTGGGCTAAAGCCTAGCTTCCTGCTTGCTATGTGACCATAGGAGTCTTTGGGACTGAGTCTGGGACTCAGTCTCTCCCTCTGGAAGATGGGAGTGGCAATATGCCCTTCTCCCAGGGTGGCTGTGGAGGCGTAAGGCACTTAGAATGGTGCCCAGCATGTGGCACATGTTCAGTGAAGTGCCCACCAGTCCACGTCTTGGGCCAGTCTGTGAGGACAGAAAACCCTTCAGGTACCAGCCCCCTCCCCGATCCATGGATCTTGGGGGGGTGACTTTGGCCTGGGGCTACCAGGAAGCAAAGGGCCGGTGACCTCCTGGAGCCCCCTGCGTTCCCCCAAGGGCCCCACCCCTTCCTCCCACGGGCCTGCCATACCCAGGTGTTTGTTTTGAGTCAGGCCTGGGGCTGCAGCCAGCTCTTGTAGGGCAGGGTGGAGACCCCAGTGCGTGGGTGCCCCAAGTTCACAGCTGACCCAACTGGGAAAACTGAAATTTACTGCTGGAGCTTGGGGCCAGGCTCTATCAAAGGGCTGGGCAGAGGCAAAGCCGGGAGCCATGCTTTGGAGCCAGGCCAGCCAGGAGGAGCCTTGCAAGGAGGGAAGGGTGGGAGCGGCAGCGGAGGCTGCCTGGGCACGAAGCCTGTCAGGTTTGTCCGCTCCTGTGGGTGACTGGGTGTGTCCATGCTGCAGGGACACTGCGAGGTGGGGTTATACTGTTTACACACATCGGCACCCCAGGGAGGCCGGGGGTGGGGGGGATGGGAGGTGTAGGGGGTGGGGAGCCGGTGCTGCACTTTGTACTGGCTTCTGGGTTTTAACACAGATAATGCAGGGGACCAGGGTGGGGGTGGGATGAACAGGACTCAGCAGGGGAGAGTGAAGGGAACTGCTCAGCCTCTCCTGGGACCAGCACTAGGCATCAGGAAGCCACAAGCCCAGGGTCTGGAATCAGGGGCTTAGCTCAGGAATCATTGCCCTGAAAAGCCAGACACTCCTGGCCCAGGACTGGGTCCCTGCTCCTTAGGATATATATATTTATTTATATATATATAAAACCCCAGCAGGCTTGAACACTTTCTGGTGTTAGTGGTATGGGCAAAGGATCTGATCCACAGGGCGGACCACCACCTCCTTGGCTTTCCAGATAGGACGGTGGTGGATGGAGGACCAGGCAGGGGCCCTTGTAGAAAGGGAGTGGCCGGGCCCGAAACCAGGGAAGGAGCCACCTGGAGGCCAGACGTGGAACTGCAACAAGGTATCCTGCCAGCCAAGGAGAGGAAGGGCTGCCAGCTGAGCTTCTTGCCCTGGGTCTGCAGGACCAGATGGCTGGGTACAAGTGTGGCCCAGCACAGTCAGGGGTACATGGGTGGGCACCAGGGAGAGGCGACCCAGGAGGCAGAGGACAGGGAGTGTGAGAGCAGACAGGGCAAGGGACCCAGTGGTGAGGCTCTCCAAGGCAGCTGGCCATGTTCCCAGAGGTTATGGCTGTGCTGCCAGGGCCATCCTGGATGGTGAAAGGGCTGGGTGGTGCCACCAGTGTTCCTTATCTGTCTACTATGGCCCCAAACCGCTGATTGGGGACAGAAGCCCAACCCCACCTTCGCAGACTCCCTGCCTGCTTTCCCATTCACCATCAGAGGTCGAGAAACAACCCAAATACCCAGCTTTTAATGTGTGAGCTGCAATGGCTGGGTACCCTCTGGCTGTCACAGCAGCAGGACAAGGGGGCAGCTCAGGGCTGGCAGGAAGGAGGCCCCCAGTGGCCTCTACCCCAGCTGCACCACGGGGTGTCCGGAAGACTGTGGTGCTGGCTGCAGCTGTCTGTGTTGTCTTTCTTGTGTTGACTGATTAGTTCCAGCTGCAGAGGAAGGCCAGCAGGCTGCAAGGCAGGGCTGGAGTGGGGATTGCAGGGTTGGGGGAAAGAAGGAGCATGAAGCAGGAACCCAGAGCACAGGTAGCCTGGTGGGACCAAGAAGAAGTAGAGGTGGTCAGTGCCCAGGGACCTGAGAGCTGCAGGTCTCCACAGCCTGGGCCTCCTTCCCTGTGTTCCCTCCCTGCTGAGCTGCCCCACCACACACCCTGCTCCTCTGTCAGTCCCTGACCCTGCCTTCCCATTCTCCCCCATGACTGATGAATTCTAACCTCTATATCCCTGTTTCCCCTGCCCTCCCCCTGCATGTTCACCTCCCTCTTGCTCCAGACACCTCTGTCCACTGCCACCTGCTGCCCCTGTCCCACTGCACATCTGCTTAGCACCTCCATGAGGACCTGGCATGGCCACTGCACAGCCTCAGCCAATCTCTCCAGCTAACTGTCCCAAGGTGGACACGCTGGGCTCTGAATGGCACCTCCCTGGGATCAGGGACTGTGATGGCTGGACAGCTCTCAGGTACACACAGAGAGGACACTGTCAGATGGTATTTAAAAGAGCTCAGGTTTCGGAGCTGGTGTTGTCATCTGTGATGCTAGCATCTGCCATGGATACAAATGTATGTCCCAGCTGCTCCACTTTCTAACCAGCTCCCTGTTAATGCACCTGAGAAAGCAGCAGAGGATGGCCCAAGTATTTGGGCCCCTGCACCTATGTGAGAGACCCAGATGAAGTTCCTGGCTCCTGGCTTCAGCCTGGCCCAGCCCTGGCCATTGCAGTTATATGGGGAAGTGAATCAGCCAGTGAAGATCTATTTCTGGGTGATTCTCAAAGCCCTGTGTGCAGCAATGCCACCTAGAGGCCAGCCCCACCAAGGTCTCCATGTCACCTGGCCTTGGCTGGGGTTGGACACCCAGTATCTCCAGGTCATGCCACTGCTCTCAGCACCAATCCTGGAGGTCCATGGATCTGATCCCCAGTTTTGCAGATGAGGGGAACACAAAGGACCCCAAAGCAGATGTGATGTGAGCCCTGCCAGGAGCTGACTTGTCTTGGGAGGCTCTGCTCCCTGGGCCCCCTGCCAAGTCCTGGCCTGTGGTCCCCACGGTTCTGGGCCTCTGTGGGTACCCAGGGAACAGGGAGGGGGTGTCAGGCACCTCTACTGTGAGGTCGGGGACTTGGCAGCATCGAACATTTTCTTGCGGCCCTCCATCCCAGACATGGCCTCCACATTCTTCCTCCAGTCGCCTACCTCCACGGGCCGCTCCTGTAGGCAGGTCACATACATGTTAGACCCTCACTGAGTTAGGGAGGCAGCCTGTATACCCCTGTCCCCCAGAACCCAGGAGGGAATCACGGCAGCCCCAACCAGGGGCTGGAGGCCCTGAGAAAGGAGCCCTCACCTTCTCTGTGTCCTCCTTCTTCACGGACTTTAGGTTGGCCCGCAGATCCATGGACACCTTGTGCTTGGAGCCCAGCAGGGCCCGCAGCATGGCATCGGCCGAGACCCGAACCCGACGCAGTGGCGGGCGCTTGAATTTCCCACGGAGGTCCAGCACCTTGAGCTTCAGGTCCTTAATCTGTGGGCAAGAGGGGGCTAGAGCTCAGGGGAGGGAGAATGACAGCCACAGGGCTTCCGGCACTCCAGTCCAAGACCAGCTCCACCAGCCCCTCACTTTGCAAAACCTCTACACCGATGCAAAGGAATGACTAAAATGGCTGCAGTCATTGGAGGGAGCCCTGAAGCAGGGGCCCTGCCATTCCCATCTCCACCTTGGTCCAGACCCCTTTGTGGTCCAGGACTGCTTCAAATTACCCCTCCCAAGAGAGGCATCAAAGCCTCCTATAGCCTTGATCCAGCAGGCTGAACAGACACCCAAACCCTGGACCTCCCACTTCAAATGATGTTCCAGGACATACTATCTGGAAGTGGAGGAATTTCTTTGGAACCTGGTGACCCCACAGGCCATCACTCCTGGGATGCAGGAGTGGGAAGGACGGAAGTGGCTTAAACACTCCTTCTCCCCCTCCTTTCTGCTGAGAAAGATGCCCAGAGGCAGGCGGCCCCAACTGGAGCGGTGGAGCTGGTGCTCCCAGCTGTCATGCTCAGGAAGTACTGAGCCAGGGACGGGAACCAGAAGGTGGCACACAGCCCAAGACTACTGCGTGACCTGAACTGAGTCCTGAGGCCCTTCAGTCCCAGAGTCAGCAGGCGGTTCAGAGGTGCAGGTGGGACTGCAAGTGGCCAAGGTCAGAGGTCATGGACAGGTGTATGGTGTGAGTAGACAAGCAGACCCAGAACCCATGAAGCAGGAAAGGAGAGAATCTGTGCTCCTCCTGTGACCACTAGACCTCCTCCAGGCCCATCTCCAGCCTGGGCAGCAACTGAAGCTCCTGCTAAGGGGTCACTCAGAGGCCTTGCAGAAGGTGAGCTGCTGTGTCCCTGCCCTCCCCTTCAGCCCCGACTCACCTCCCTGGTGTTATGGAGGCATTTGGCCTCGATGTCATAGCGCTCCTCATCCACCACCTCCACCTTGGCATGTAGCTCCCGGCACAGGTCCTAGGGTCGGTGAGGGACCAGCAGGCAGGAGTAGAGAAGAGAGGAAGAGAACGTGGGCCTCCAGACCTCCTTCTCCACCCCCACGCCCCGTGCTCGTGTCCCCCACCCCCTGCCCTGGCCCCCTTGCAAGACGCAGTTGTACAGAGGAGCCGCCAGCCTTGGTCACTCTGGGGCCCACTGGGCAGTGAGGGCTCAGAGAGAAGCCCTGTTCCCCACTGTTTTCCTTCAATGGAAGTGTTGAGCAGAATCCCAAAAAATCATATGCTGATCCAAACAGCAAATATACGGGCTTCTGAGTCCTGCCCCCAGCCCTATTCTCCCACCTCCCCCCTCAGCCCCTACTCCATGCTGTGGCACCAGCTGCTGATAGGCACGGCTCCACCTCAATTCCTGTACCTGTAAAATGGAATGTGACATCACCACCTCACAGGTGGTTATGGAGACTCAGTTACAAGGAAGGAAAGAACACCTGTGAGTTACAGAGCATGGAGCCCACATTGGTTCAGGCCTCTACCACCTGGTCCCCCAGGGCCTCCCAACCCAGGCACCCCAGCCCGGGCTGGCATTGCTCACCTGCAGGGCGCTGAGTGACAAGCCACGGGTCTGTAGCGCAGGGATGCGTTCAGCCAGGTAGCGTGCCTTCTCAGCCTCACGTGCCTCGTGTTCCTGCTCCCAGCATTCCTTGGCCTTGGCCAGCATCAGGCTCTGCATAGGACACACCTGCTGAGCCGCTGGGGCTCCATCCACTGCCTCCTCACCCATGCTCTGAATTGCTTCCTTACAACCCCTCGCCCAACCCCAAGCCAGCCCTCAGCCTTACCTTCAGCAAGAGCTTGCGTGAGGCAGTGATCTTGGATTTTCTCTGAGGGCAAGAATTGGGGAGAGAGATGCATGGTGAAGCAGAGGCTGGAGACATGGGACTCGAGGCTATGCAGGGTGAGTGACAACAGATGGCACCATCTTTACCCAGAATCCCCAGCTGGCATCAGGCCCCTCTAAAGCCCAGCTTGGTGACTCACCCTCTCCAGCTTAGAGAGCGCAGTGGTTGGTTACCTCGACATGGGGGCTGACCTCCCATTCTGGCTCTGCTGCAGGTGTGTGCTGGCAAGAGCCTGGCTGGGTCACATGGCTGCCTCCCCACCCTCTCATGTATCTTGTGTGCTGACACCTCCCTCCGCCCCCAACCTCCTTAGCAACTCTCTGTGTACATTAATGTTTTTTAACTTGTCAGCACCACCTATGGAAATCAGAGCATGGCCTGCTCCCACCAAAAGCACCAAATGTGTTCTGTGTGCCAGCAGGGGCCAGCACCCTCAGACACTCTACTGGAGAACAGAAGTAGGCGGGCTCTGAGCGAGTCATCCCACCCAGCCCTGCTGCTGTCCCAGCCCTGGGGCCACCTTGCCAAGCTCCTGCACGCTGGGACAGCAGCTCCCTTGTCTAGTTCAAATCTTCACGTGAGGTCTCTCTCCTCCGGAGAGTTTGCTCAGCTGTGCCCCTCCCCAGGCCTTGACTCACTCTGTCCCCTCACCTCAGAGCCCACTGGCCACCTTCCACCCATGTGAGAGGCGTTGCCACTACAAATAGCACTCACCTCACTTCAGGTGCCCATCACAAGGAGATGGGAGACAGCCAAGAGTGCACCCGATGATCACACAGCAGGAGAGCCACGCCGACCAGCACAGGGGAGGGGGAGATAATGAGTCCCAGAACACATTAAAAACCCGGTGACCCTTTGGTTTAGTGAGCGTTCTGTTTGGGAGAGGCTGGTTGGAGGGAGGAAGGAGGAGGGCGGGGCTGGTTTGAGGAGCAGGGAGACCTGGCCCTAGGGTGCAGTACAAGACAGCCTCGAGAGGTGGAGCCCAGGGAACACACAGAGCTTGGAGGCCGGGAGAACAGGCAGGAACCTAGGGGCTGATGCAGCATCTGTGTCCTTGGGGTCGGCAATGAGGGGACTGGGTCTTGGGGAGTCCTGGGTCAGGCAGGGCTACTTACACTTCCGGCATGGTGGCAGCAGAGCAGCACCTGCACAGAGCAGAGGAGTCATGCTTGAGGGAAAGGCAAGATGCCTGGCTCACCCCCAACTCCACCACCCTGGGCTTGCAAGTCAGACATGGGGAGGGGAGAGAAGAATGCACCCAAAAGACCCCAGCAGACCTGGGCGTGACAGGGGTCCCAAGCCGACCCCAGCCCCAGCCCGTTCCTGCTTAGAGGGTGGTGAGACCAGCAGAGAAGGACATGAGAAACTGCGGTGACCTGCAAAACCTGAGATGGGCTTCTACCCGGCCCCTTCCAGAGAAAAAAGTTTGCCAATCCCTCAGAAAACGTGCTTGAGGAGGGTGGAAGCACCCATGGGGAGTTCAAATGACACACTAAGTCCATATTCCATCCAAAAGATAGAGCATGGTTGTTAAAGGGTGCAGCCAGGGTTGGGGGGTGTGGAAGAGCCCCAGAAGGGGTAAGGACAGGAATGGAAATGGATCCAAGAAGCCACCATCCTGCACAACTCCAGAGGGTGCCACTCCACACCAGGACTTTGTGCCTGGAAGCCCCGACAAGGCTCTGAGTGCTGGCGGTGATGCTGGGGGTGCAGGGTGAGCTCTAGTATACCCCTACCTCCCCGGGCAGGCATCCCACTTAGTGTGCAGCCCTTAGGCCCTCTGCTCCATCCACAACTTCAAGGGGAGCCAAGCGAATTCATCAGGGGCAGAAGGCATTGGCTGCAGGAAGGAAGCTAATGTGCGAGCCTCATCCCCAGGAGACCACAGAACACAATCTGGAGCCCCCCTCAACGGGCAGTCCCAGGGACCCAGGCCGACACTGGGGCACCTTGAGGCTGTGGAGAAGGATAGTCCAAAGTCAGACCTAACTGCCTCTTGCCTGTGCCTGGACAAGGTGGGTAAGGGAGGGAGGGGCAGCTGGGATGGGGAACAGGTGTGCATAGGGGGATGGGGACCCTGGGCTGGGTTATGGAGTGAAGGATAGGCGAGGCTAGTGTGCATGGAGAGGGGCAGGTGTGGACCAGCTCAGGGGTCAAGCACCTGGACTTGATTCAAGAACTTGGACTGGAGCAAGGAGGGACTGACATTCCCTTCAGGAGCAGCACTGTCCTGCTGACGCTTTTGTCTTTGCTCCCTTGGAGCAGGGCTCTGGCCACCTGTCCTGAATCTGTCACCTGGTCGGAAAACCTTCTGGGCCTCCCTATGCCTCTGCCAGCAGGGGAGGGGGAATACAGCGGAATCCCAGCTGTCCCCCTGGGGTATAGAGGGAGAGGTGTGGAGAGAGAATCCATGGATTCCTGGCATGCTTGGCTGGAATTAGCTTTTACAGGCAGCTGCTCCTCCTGAGGGCTCCTCCCCAGACGTGAGCTCCTCCCTCCCTCCCCCACCTCTGCCCTTCCACCCTTCCATCCTGCCAGTCCTGGGGGACAGCGGGTCTCCACTCACCAGATCCATGACTATCTCCCTGGAGGTGGCTCCTCCCCCTTGGGCCCCTGGCCAGCTTGCAGCCCTACCTGCCGAAGCCAGGCCTCCTACCAAGCTCCCGTCCCCAGCCCGCCCCACTGACAAATGCCAGGCCAAGGGGTCCACGACAGGCAAGAGGGCCCCCCTCTGGCCTGGGCTCTGACACCCACCACATAGGACCCTTGACAGGTCCTGGGGAAGATAAGCAGAGAGATGATAAGAACAGGGGGTAGGGGGGAGGGAGGGGTAAAGGGGGGCAGCAAAGCCAGGCTGGGAGAGGCAGGATTCCATCCCCCATAAGCAGCAGACAAGGAGATAATCAGAAACTCCACAGGGAGAAGGAGGGGGGCCAGGGCCTCTGCCCAGGGCTCAGAGCTGGGTTCAGGGCTGGGCTGTCGCTCCCCTGAGGCCTGTGGGGTTTGGGAAGGCAGACAGGGGCTGTGAGTATGCCTATTGTGTGTATATTTGATTACATGCGTGTGTGAAGGAAGGAGTTGCTCTCCATGCACACCTGATAATCAGGGCACACAAATAGCAGGTAACCCCCATTCATCCCCTGCTCCCCACCCTCCAACCTTGGACCCCAACTCAAGGGCATCCCTGTCCTTCTTGGCCACAAGCCTGTGATTGGGGACGCCCTACAAACACTGCAGCCTGTCTCAAGCCCTGAGCAGGACATTAGGACCCCAGTGCCAAGGCAGGATTGTGACTGCCATCCCTGGGGCAGGGGCTGCCCAATACAGACAAAGTCCCCACCATCCTCGGCTGTGGAGCTCACTTTAGATGATGCCGTGCCTGGCGCATCTGTGTGGGCTCCCGTGCCCTTTGTGCCCTGCTACCCAGGTGGATAGGCCAAAGGCACTGAGCGGGCTCCTCTGAGACAAGAGCAATGAGCAAGGTGGTTCCCTGATCTGGCAGAAGGTCCTGGCTCCATCTCTGGGCACCCACAGTCACAACAGGCTCTTCCCTAAACTCCCAACACAGCCCCATGTGCTCCTTCTTTCTGCTCTTCAAGGCCATCCCCTTCCCCTTTGAAACCCTCTCCCATGAGGCTCTGCCTCAGGGTCCCTAAGGAAGCTGATGGAAAATTCTGCTCCAGATTCACAGCCCCTGAAAGCCTCACTAGGCTTTCACCCCCACCCCTGCCCTTAGGCATGGAATAGAAGCTGAGGGTTGTGGGGTACTTTAAGGATGTTTTTCCAACTAACCCTTCTCCCCTCTTCTCCTCTCGACAAAACCTCAGACTCTCTCCAAGCAGAAGCCCCCTCCCCTAGCTGGGTTCCCCCCACCCCAGCTGGCTCTGCCCACCAGCCCTGGACTGCAGACACTCACCTCGTCCAGTCCCGTACAGCTGGCCTGAGTCTCCCCAGCGACTGCACAAGGGGAAGGCAGAGTGAGGGGAAGCTATGAAAACTGTGGCCCACAGCAACTGGCTGATAAAAATAGAAGCATGCACTGCCCCCTCCCACTTCCCTTCCCCCACCCTCCCTGTACCCCTCGGTCCCAGATGCACACAGCAGTTACACGAGCTTGTAGACACGTGGGGGTGGCACACACAAACCCAGGCCAAGCAAAGCTAGACCCTACCTAGGGAGGAAGGAGAGGGTGGAGATCCCTCCATCTATGACAAAGAAATGTGGGAACCCCCCCATTCCCAAGCCCAGGCCCAGAGCTGGAGAGGGCTGAAGCTTCAGGAATGTTCCATGGCTCTGGAGTGTCCATGGGCCTGAGCTGCATAGCTGTCAGTGGCATCAGAGCAGTGAGTTGCAGCAGGCCCACCTTAGTGCTCACGAAAGTGTGAGCTCTATCTACACTCCAGCTGATTTGCCTGGGTTCCCAAGACCCAAGCAGCCCCCAGGCTGGACTCACCCACCTCTCTCCTGCCTGGTCTGTCTCACTAGCCAGAAGCCCACTCTGTCTAAAAGGCTGGAGCTGTGGGACCTGCACCTGTTCAGTGGGTATTTTTAGGCTGTTGATGAACACATAATACCCATCCTATAGTCAGAGAAAGACAATGCCTGCTATGTTAATCCTGTGGCTATTATAGTCGGCCAGCTCCTGGGCCAGCATCCCAGGCTAGGGCAGGGCAGGCAGGACACTGACCTCTCTCAGAGGCCAGAGAGAGACCTCACAAACAGGAGGGGGTAGGAAAGCTCCAACAACACTTACCCCATACTCCCCCTCTTGCTTGGAGCGGGAGCTCAGGAGACATGACCCCCAGTGTCCTCACGGGTAACAGGCCTGCCCTGGGTGGACACAGACATTCTGCTGCCGGGAAACCACCCCACTGGACACTGGAGGACCGTCAGGGAGAAAGGATGGGTGCTGGAATGCTATGGGGCTAGGGACAGAGGTGCCTGCATGGAGGGCTGGGATGGGAAGCAAGGGCAACACCCTCCATGGGGCAGGACGGAGGAGCAGTGCAGGGTCAAGTCTGCCGGACACTTTGGTCTTGGCTTATTGTGACTTTCTGACAGGACATCACACATGAAGAGACAGAGCTATCTGTCGGAATCAGCCTACTTCTCACAAACGGAAAATAAAGCGGATGCCCCCAACCCATATGCAAGTGCCTGGGTCAAGTTGTGGCTCCTCAGTATCCAATCCAGCTTCTTGCTAATGTGCACCCTGGAGGCAGCAGGTCAGGCTCAAGAACTTGGATTACTGCCCCCTACAGGTGTATGGCTATAGTTTCCACAGACCAGGTACCTTAGGGAGTGTGTGCCCACATGTACTCAAGAGATCTGGGGGCAGCTCACACATGCCCAGACACTGTGGGGTGCAGGTACCACTGTCCAAGCTCCATCCCTGCCATCCTGTCATACCCCAGGCTATGTAGCACCCACCTGTTCCCCCAGACCTGCAACCCCAGCTCAGGAACAGAGGAGAGGAATAACCTTGCCCTTGGCACATCAAGACCTTTCTCTACCATCCATGTAAAAGATACCTTCAAAACAAGCCTGCCCTGTCATGCCTGTTGTCCCCTACCCCTGTCCCTGCCCCAGTCTTGCTTTGCATGTGAAGTAGGAGGGCCGAGGACTCTGCGGTGGCTGGCTGGAGACTGCCTACCTGCACCCAGCCAAGGAGTCACCAGCAGAAATGGGAGCTCTGTGACCCCCTCACTGTCCCTGGCCCTTCCTCATCCTGGCTGCACAGGAAAAGCCGCCCCTTCTCAGCGCATCCTGCCTGGCCAAGCAAAGGCCACCGTCCTTGAGCTATGAGACCACCTGGCTAGAGAGAACCTCCCCAGACACGGAGCTGTAACAGGGTCCACCGCCCTGAACTCTGGTCAGCTGAACAGCTGCCCCCAAAGATGCCCGTGAAAGTGGGTACAAGACACTCCGTGACAGAGTCTCCTCAGGTGTGAGTAAGGGGCTTGCGGTATGAGTGCACCCTGGGTCACCCGGGCTGATTCAATGCCATCTCAAGGTTCTTATTTGACTGCACCAGGCTAAGCTGCCACCTGTACCACAGGCATCCCATATAGGTGCCCATTTGAATCCCTGCTGATCCACTTTCCATCTAGCTTTCTGGCCCAAGTCCTTGGGGTCCTACACCCACGTG